CGCTCCCAATTACACAATCGCACACACGTCCGGATCTTCTTACCGCGACGGCTGCTATACTCCAACTGTAGTCGGCTGGCTGTTACTTTATAACTCGGAATGTCTTCGGCGGTAGCCAAACTCGAACTCGAACTGATCGATACGCACTGTGCATCCACTTATATAGCTGCAGTGCTTGCCTGTGGCGTAATGAGTGCCACGTCACAGTAGGACGTTGATTACGGTTACGTTAGCGTTGCGCGTTACGTCACAGCGTGACGTCACCGCGGAGGGGAGTGGCGGGGAGCGCTACGTTACCGTGGAGAGGAGGGGGGTTCTCAGTCGCGCAACATGTTACAATATATATAGTGTTTCATGACTTTAGGGCATAACTGCAGGAGGTGATTTCCTAGGTCTTTGTGATCAAAAAAGTTCATATAAACATGTGTCCGATTTGGATGGTTACGGAGTTATGACCGTTTTAAACTCAGAATAGAAGGTAACCATTACTGACAATAAACAGAACAAAATAATACACCAGCATAATACATGACACATTTAAAGTATGACTGTAAAGTTAACTTCGTGAAATTACCTTTAATTTGAATTTACTGGTGCTTAAAGCTGATTTTCGAAAATGCCACCACCGGCCGCAACACAGGATGCTGCTCGGTTGTGAACCGCGCTGGACATACCAACCCACCACGCCTTAGGTACCTTTCAAGCGTCGAGATAACGAGAACGCTCTGTGTGTAGCTGGCTAAAAATAGCAACCTGCCAGATGACAGACGCGGTTCACACAAGGGTGTGTAGGGGAATGAAAAAACCCACAATCCTGGTTTCCAAGCGAGTGAAGACAGTACATGCCTTAGGCCGCTCAGCTACCATGACCGGCGCATAAATAATTCTAATAATATAAATTTACAGAAACTCAGTTTACAAATGAATAACACATTGTAAAGCAAAGCAAAATACAGCTTAGCAAAAGAAAGCAGATGAGGTCAAATGGTCCTATACTTACAATGGTACCACATTGTCATTATGCACGCTGCATACCACTTTTCCGAGAACCACTTTCTCAAGGTTCGTTCCCAAATGTAGGTTTTTCAGGACAATAGGCTCCAACTTAACAGTCTCATTTCTGGCAGTGTAGCTCCCTCCACCATATGGTCCCAACTGCTTTGGTTCTATAGACTGCAGCAAAATGAACAAAGGGACAGAGACATCAGATTCTTTCAATGGTTCAATAGCGGAAAATCAAAAGGAAACATTGTCTTCCTCCATGATAATTGGCCTAAATTTCATATCTACACACCTTTTTAGATACACGCAAGAGAAATCCTTAAATGTAATGCTGTCCTTCAGCCAAAGCAATACTCGTATGTCACAAAGATACAAGAGATGTGGAGTTAAAGCTCAATGCATTCTTGACCTTGGCATCCGATGGAAGTGAGAGGTCAAATTAATGTTCTGGCTGTTTTACCCTTACATAAAAGGCTCCTGGTACCTACTGGATATAAAAGTAGATGCACCCCAGGACCAGTCTGGATATGATGCCAAAAGTCTGTCACCGCATAATCAAACCATAGCCCAGAGGCAAAGAGAACTGCATTTTGGGATGTGACACTGTGTAGCCCGTTTGACACTTACCAGCACTTCAGAGGAACACCTTCAGGGTCAAAGAAGTATGCCAAGCAAACAACAAACATGTGTTCCACTGAAACATTGGTATATTTCTACCAGAATACACAGCATCGCAACTCAGAAGATAGTATTCATAGTCTATGCCATCAGAACCCCAAAACTCTAAGACAGGCACTCTAATTGACTGACTCAGGCACAAATTGGAGGATAATATTAAGATGGAGCTTAAGCAAACAGGATGCGAATGTACAAACACGATTCATCTCACTCAGGATAATGACCAGAAGATAGCTCTCTCATGAACATAGTAATGAACCTCTGAGTTCCAGAAAAGGCAGCAAATTTCTTTATTAGCCAAGCAACTATGGGTTTCCCAAAAAGTATTCTATTCCATGGTGTTAGCATATCTCTGTATTAACAATGTTTAACCAGATGAGGTGGAAATATGGCCAAATCTTACCTGCACCATTTGTTGTAACTTCTTTACTTTGAGTTTCCCTTTGAGAGACACAAGTTCCTGAACACTGTCCAAATATTTGATAAACTGCTTCTCACTCTGCTGTGGGACTTCCCATGTCGGATCTAGTGCCTGGGCACGTGAGAATGACTCAAGTGCCAGCTTATATTCTTCTTCATATTTCAAAGCCTTTCAACAAAACAGAAGGAACTGAGAACTTTGTTACTGAAAGGATTGCAGGAGGTTCAAATTGTAATACCGTAACAAACAGCAATTATGAAAATGCAGAAGTTCAGGTCTTCATATTTCAGTACATACAAAAAGGAATATTTTAATAATCAGACACATGAAGGATACCCAAAGTCCACTGTTCACCTAATATACTGTGCATGTGGGATGGACATATAAAACATATGGGTTTGACATACTGTGTACATTTAACACCACTAAGAATACTCTTTCCTACTAGTTTAATTTTGGTAGAAACGTAGACAAAACAGTCCAGACAGTAACAACCAGAATAATGGCGCAGCTAAGTGCTGAAAACGTATATTATGCTCCTTTACCTTTGTGATCTTTTTCATCTTTAACAGCTGTCAGATAAGAATTCCCCAGACAAAGCTTCGGTTTAGTACACATATGAAGCAGAACAATACTGGAAACCAAACTACACATAAGTAATATCCACGTTTTGTTTATACTTATGCCAATCCTCAAATTCTGAGGCATTTATTTATCTAACTTTGGTAAATTAAGGGAGATTACAATGCTGCTAAATATATATCACACTTCCTGGTGTATGAGATGCAGATATTCCTCAAAAGCGGTCCTAAAAATCTGGATTCTTCATACACATGGGAAGTAACAAAGAAAAATGAGGTATATAAATATCAGAATTACGGCTAACAAGCCCCTACAAATATTAGCGTAACATCCGTTGAGAATTCAATCAGAAATCTCATCATCTGTTACATTGGCTTCCATATTATTAACTTCCTTAGCTTTCTCAAGTAGGTCTATTCCTTTCCAGTCCTAAATATTATCAAATGATATGACAAGGTCGATAATTAAAGCCATCTCATACAAATAATATGTACAAATAGTCAATTGTAAATTGCCTCCTTTATATAGCATATTGCATTTTACACATCCACAACAGAATATTATCAGTACTCACAGAATAGGCATGATATATTGACACAAACAACTGCTCACTTGTTCATGACCTATTATATACTCGTAACTAACATTCATGCAACATGTTACTGTTTGGCAATACTGTCACATGTTTGAGTGTGACTACAGACGGGGTTTGGATTGGTAACTGGATTTACTGGACACTTAGCTTGTAACTACAAATAACTACGAGTCTCACTGAGTTACACACTCCAAAGACTGCTCACTGTAACTACAGCACACATAAAGTCTTCTCAGTCTTTACTAGCTGTGGCTTGGTAGCAGCTTTCAATTGGCAAAAGTTCCCCCTTCCTCTGGGTTCCCAAACTATCCCTGGCCTCAGCTACCAGCTTCTCTTTTCACAGCTGGGATTTGCAACTGACTCCATAACACCTGAACTACTAGTCCTCTTTACATAGCCCCAGCACACACCAAAGAGAAAATGTCTCTCCCATTACTGGTGTTTTCTTGGTGCTGGGGAAACAATGTGTCCACAAAGCTGTTTCCTAGCAATGGCTGTTGTACTCTTGCCTGTTTACATAGCTGTTGCCTGGCCTTCATTTCTTCTAGGCAGGTTTCCACCATGGCCTCCATTTCTTCCAGGCCAGCCTTCATTTTCTCTGTGTTGGCCTTGGCCATTTCTAGACAGGCCTGTCCTAGCTTGGTCGATATCCATTCAGGTTTCCCCCCTTTCTTATACATAGGTCAGTCAAAAAGTTCCCGGAATTCCCCTGTAGATGGAGAACGATCGATAAGATAGCGCACACACACACTGTTGTGGTGGGTAGCTCAGCATGCCTGCTTGCAGGTGCAACAGGTCTGGACAGGTTTCAGTGTGCAGTGTTGTTACTGTGCTGTTTGAATTAGATGTGAGTGTTGGTTATTTGGTGCAATGTTGCAGTTTGAACAGCATGTGAACATCAAGTTCATGTGCAAATTGGGAAAATCTGCTTCAGAGACGCTATCTGCCCTGCAACAAGTGATACAAGTGCAACAAGCGGTCATACTGCACTATAGAAATCCGCAGTTTATGACTGGTTTTCCTGGTATAAGAATTGGCAGGAGACATTAGAGGATGATCAGCGCAGTGGGAGACCTTCAACATCCAGAACCGAAGAAATGATTGGAAAAGTGCGACAAGTGATTCAATGTGATCGAAGAATGACCATCGTGGAGTTGGAGCAAGAAGTTGGTACTGTTACTGGCCATTTCTATGTGCAAGTTTTGCATAGGTTGCGCGATGAGGTTCAGAAGAAGTGGCGTGACAAGTGGCAGGGGCAGTGGTTTCTGCATCACGATAACGCACCGAGCCACACATAGCTTGTTATGCAGCAATTCCTCACCGAGAAAACCATTCCTGTCACCACTCAACCATTGTACTTTCTGGATCTCGCTCTAAGTGACATTTGGCTGTTCCCTACTCTGAAAATGGGCCTCAGTGGGACAAGTTTCGCAACCATGGAGGACATTAAATCGAATGGGATGGCTGACCTCCGGAAGATTCCAAAAGAAGCCTTCCACCGCTGCTTCAAACAATGGCAGGCTCGATGGAGCAAGTGTGTGTACGTGCAAGGGTCCTATATGAAGGTGATTAGGTAAGCGTTGCTGTATGTCCAACCATTACAGTGCTATACCACCACTCCTGGAACTTTACGACTGCCCCCCGTAGTTTCTATATGGTGGCTACCACTTCTTCCATGTTCATTGCGGTTAGCTGTCCAGTTGGTTCCAATACAATCAGTCTGATCAATCCAATCAAATTATCCCACGTCTCATGCCAGTTATATGCATCTGAGTGTGACTATGGATGGGTTTGGACTGATAACTGGATTTACTGGACACTTGCACTTGTAACTACAAATAACTATGACAGTTTCACTGAGTTACACACTCCAGAACACACAAGTCTTCTCAGTCTTCACTAGTTGTTGCTTAGCAGTGGCATTCAGCAGTAGATGTACCCCCTTTTTTGGGCCCCCACACTGTCCGTTGGTAGTCCTCGTTTCATAGCCCCAGTATGGAACAGAGAAAATGCCTCTTCCATTATCATGTGTTCTCTCCTTGTCGGGAAACAGTATGTCCAAAGAGCTGTTCCCTGGCAATGACCGTTGTACTGTTGCCTGTTTACAGAGCTGTTACTTGGCAATGGGTCTACATGTCACAATATGTTGCAATGGCAATCACAGACTGTATAATGACAATGATAAATCTTGCACAAAACTTTTTACACACAGACAGAGAAATAAATAATCTTGTTATGGGTAATTAATAATAATAAATTCATTTTTCTATACAAAACGATAGACAAATGATTCTTAATTCCTCCTTCCTAAACCCTCATGCCAGTGACCAAGGGCTATGGGTCTCTGGAACCCTTTCACTCCAATATTCAAGTTTGTGAGTTCACTGATAATTAAATTTAGATAGTAGTGCACCATGACAAAAAAATATTTCTCTTCTAGAACACACTGTGAACATGTAACTTTTTCCTTTGTCACTACAGTATGCATATAGATGCCTTTTGGGATTTCATGGATGAATACACATCAATTGCTACTCTCTTATGTATTGTGAAATACTGCATACTGTGAAAAATTGCTGGTCTGGCAAGTAAGTCAGCATCAGATTTGCTGGGAGTGAAAGTGTCACAAGTACATTCTTCTTTACATTTGGCAGAAACATGTTAAAATAATGCCACACCAAACTAAACAGGCCTCCTTCAACTCCCTGATTGTGCACACTGAGGCACTTAAAAATTAATTTTTCTGTGTCATCTGAATTTTACTGACATATATATCAGAGAGAGCCGGACACGGTAGCCGAGCGTTCTAAGGCATGTACTGTCTTCACTCGCTTAGAAACCGGGATCATGGGTTCGAATCCCACTCAGGGCATGGATGTTTAGTTTGTGTGTATGTGCATTTTTCTGTGTTTGGGTACAGGAAGAGGCCTTGTGACGAGCTGATCACCCACCCACGGAGTCCTACCGAATGTGTAAGATCTAGAAAAACCGAAGTGAACGGAGAAGTTCATGGGGGTATGCCTAGGCCCACTGGGGCTGTAGTGCCAAGAAAAAAAAATATCAGAGAGAGATTAAAAACAGCTAGGATTTGAGGCTCTCACAACTTTGGTTATAAAGAATCTATTGATCTATCGATCTATCTTCTGGGATATAATGCCATTTAGTCTGTTAAAAGTCAACTGATGTTTTGGAGGAACATGTCACTTCCATCTTGAGAACTAAACAGAAAGCCAAGCAAGAAACCAGCATGAAGCAGGCAGCAAACAAAGTGCCTGAAAAGCTTTGTTTGCTGCCTGCTTCATGCTGGTTTCTTGCTTGGCATAAATTAAATTCCAAGATGGAGGTGACACGTTCCTCTGAAACATAAGTTGGCTTTCAACAGACTACATGGCATTATATGATAAAACACAGAACTCTTAAAAAAAAACAGAGTATGTACTATTCGAAGCAAAGACGATACAAATAATTTAGTGTGTTTTATTGTTATCAACATGAGGTTTTCATCATAGTCAGCCTTAAGATTACAGTCTCTTGGGATGTGACAGCATTCCATGTGGTCAAAGGATACTCATGTTTTGGAAGAATCTGCTGTCTCCTGCTTCAAGGTAGAAAAGTGAGTCTTTTGCCTTGAAAATGGAAGAAGTAGGTTCCTCCAGAACTCACTGACACCTGTTTATCAAATTAAGTGTACATGGTGTCACTTTCCAGAGGGCCAAAATCTAAATATTTACTTGGTACTATCTATGCTAGGTCGAATCTTCTTGATACTCACAACTGCTTTGTTATAGTGCAGCTGAGGATTGCTACGAGCTACTACATCTTTCTCCTGGAATAGAAGGAATATCTATATTAAAATAAAAATTAACACTGTATTTCTAATATTATATTTAAGCATCCTGTTGCATTAATTTTTTTGGGTGGTATTCATTTCAGTCTTTCTAATGCATCAATGTGTCCCATCTTCTGGATACAACACTGCATAGTCTGTTGAAAGTCTGCTATCTGCTTCATGCTGGTTTCTTGCTTGGCTTATTCTTTGAGCCTGAAGATGGAGGCATCATGTTCCTCCAAAAGTTGGGCAGGCTTTCAACATATTACATGGCGTTATATCCCAGAACACAGGACCCTTCATAAATACTGTTTTCAGACTCTCAAATGCAACACCTGTAGAATGTCTAATGGTTGCATGGTTATAGTCACATTGTCATATTTCACTCAGTTCTTCACCCTATTAAAAAAATGTCTTGGCCGTATATGGCCACCTTCAGGTGTAGGTAGGATCAAAATGTTCCTGGAATTTGAGTGTATCAAAATAACCATTTCCTGTTAAAGTGAGGGAGTGGATTCCATACAAATGGACTATGTGCTATCTGTGGAGCAGGGTGCAACAGGCTGAGCCATGTTAGTGTGCCACAATTGGCTGTGGAGAATCAACTGGATCCTGCAACAACACACTATGTCAGAAATTTCTCATAGTGCAGCACATTATGGTGAAGAACAAAATTCCAACCATCACCTGGCCACCATATTCTCCAGATCTCACTCCAGGCAACTTCTGGCTCTTTCCAAGATTAAAGATTGTGTTCAAGGGCCATCATTTTGACTCTGTGGAGGAAACTCAACATGATGTAACTGCAGAAGGATTTCCAGAGGTGCTTCCAGAATTGCTGGATTAAGTGTGCATGTACAGAGGGTAACTGTGTCAATTTTTTACATATCCTTTCTACTAAAAATTATGCCTGAATTCTGGGAACTTTTTGATCCTTTCATGTATATTCTGCATTGCAACAGACAAAGACAACAAAAGTGAAATATACCAAATGAGATGCCTGTGCTGCTCATTAAGATACATGAGACAGATTGGGATGAAAATTCAACAGCAGATACAAAGAACACATCCAAGCCTATGCAAAACAGTAACAGTACCTAGGGATATTCCAGCCACATATTAAATACAGGACAACATACAGAATTATAACCAACACCATGGATGTCAGAAAGACAGGAAGTAAGGGAAAATATTTAATTAGTGTACTGAAATATCACATTCACTTAATCAATAAAAGCAACCTACATATGAATGACACTCAAATGTAAGAAACCTTACAATAATTCAACCAAGGTCGCAACATACGTGGGTTGTACGGAAAGTCATGAGCAACTTTATTTTGCAAGCAACCTGGGAACAGCAGACGAAAGAGAGTATGGTGGTAGGTGGAACAAGCTGTTGTGTTAACCTTGAGTGTCTTGTGACGTCAATAGCTTGCATCATGTGACCAGTATCACTCCTAACAAAATGGCCGACAACCATATGTAATTTTGACAGCGTGCTGTCATCAAATTTCTTGTGAAAGAGGAAATCCCTGCTGCAGAAATTCACCAGAGACTTCAGTGTGCTTATGGAAGTGTGTGCATGGGTGCAAGCTGTGTTCGAAGATGGGTGAAACATTTTAAAGATGGGAACACCAGCATCGAAGATGAGCCTTGGAGCGGTCGTCCTCGAACAGCCTCAACTGAACGCAACAAGGAAAGAGTGGATTAGATCATTCAAGATGACAGGCGTGACTGTGGACACAATAGCCCGAAAACTTGGAATAGGGCACAGTGCAGTACAGGAGATGATTGAAAGCTTGGGCTATAGGAAAGTTTGTGCTTGTTGGGTCCCAAGGTTATTGACCGAAGACCACAAAGGTCAGTGAAAAGCGATCACCTCAGAACTGCTGCAGAGATATCGACACGAAGGTGATGATTTTTTGCGATGTATTGTGACAGGTGATGAAAGCTGGTTTCACAATTTCGAGCCTGAAATGAAACAGCAGAGTATGGAATGGCACCATTTGCATTCTCCATCAAAAAAGAAGGCAAAGACAGTGCCATCAGCTGCGAAGGTGATGGGCACAGTCTTCTGGGATGAAGAGGGGTTTATTCTGGCCAAAATCCTGGAACCTGGGCAAACCATCAATGCTGCTTGTTATGTCCAGATGCTGCACAAGCTCCGTCGTGCATTGCGCGATAAACATCCGGGATGAAACATCATCATCCTGCATGACATCACTCGCCTCACATTGGAAGCAGCTGCAAAGATGGGGTGGGAAGTTCTTCCACACCCCTCCTATAGCCCTGATCTGGCACCCTCAGACTACCATCTTTTTGGATTTGTGAAGGATCAGCTGCATGAACAACTTTTGAGACAAGAGAGGCAATTCAGAAAGCAGTGTGTCAGTGTCTTCGGATGGCTGGAACGGAATTTTACAGAAGGGGAATTTTCAAACCCCCAGAACACTGGGAGAAATGTGTACAAAGAAGTGGCAATTATGTGGAAAAATAAAGAAAGGTCTGTAGATTGATGTGGTGTATTTGGTTTGTCAATAACAAAAAATTGTTGCTCAAGACTCTCAGTACGACCCTCGTAAAATCTTGAACACCACACCACATCAAAAAACAGCAACAAAAACGTCCACAGCCTCTGCTCAAATACCATGAATACCACACATAAGTACAACTATACATATTAATGCGGAACCCATCATGATGCAATTTTTCTCATGCCCAGGCGTTCCTTCAGAATGTGAAGTCTGCACATACAGTCGTATGTGCTAATCCTGTGTCTCGGGCCAGCTCACGAATTGTATGGCATCGATCACTCTCCAGTAACGTGGACAGAGCATACACTTCTTCTTCGCTGACACTAGGATGACTTGGCCGACTCATGTTTGCCACATTTTGGCGTCCCTCGTTGAAGGCTTTTACCCACCTTGCCACTATCCTGTAAGGCAATGCAGTTTCCCAGCAAGCCTCTTGAAGACCTTGATGACACTGTCATGCTGTACGGCCTCTGGCACATTCAATCTTTATCCAACTCTATTGTTCCTGTTTCGAAAAAATCGTGACAACACTACATTAGACCTCCAGCTAACATGAGGCTCTGTTCTTCTCATCACTGCGCATGCGCGTGATGTGGGAAGGGAGAGTCCATTTGCTCTGAGGTAAGGTAGGTATGTAACTAATATGTGGTATAAGTGACATTATTTGGATCCGTTGCATGGCGCCTCTACAGCTGTGTTGCCACTATCAAAGTTACAACCCTCGTATGTGCTTCGGTTGATAACAATAAAATGCAGTGAAATAATATATGACATATATCTGAGGATGGCCATATATGGCCAAAACATGTTGTATTATAACATGAACAAATGAGTGAAATATGACAGTATGGCAATAGCTATGAAGCCTCTGAACATTTTACTAAAGTTGCATTGGTAAGGCTGCAATAAATGTGACCATCTTCGATTACCTGAAAGAGTAAAATGATTTTGAACCCCTTTTGCCCAGAAGGAGAATGGTATATTGCAATTTTCTACAGTGCACAGGAAGCTGCTATGAAACAAATCCTAGCTATCCAGTTTACTTTACTACCTTAGATATCATAGTTCGTTAAGGTAACTTACTGCGTGTTGATATGCAGACATGCACAATTTCAGTGTTTGAGGGTTCTGCGACAATGCAAAGAAGGTCGACAGGTATGCATTGGCTAGCACAGCCCATGACATGCCATCATTAGTATCAAGCTGTACTGCCTCTTTGGCATATGTCACACCTTTCAGAATGTTGTCAGAACGCTGCTGTGCTGATGCCACCTTTTCCTGTCGCAGTATCATTGATAAATTTCGAAGCGATACCTTGTTCCTTGCCTGCACACACAGGAGTTGCTACATTTGTTTATTCCTCTCAATGAGTATCTTTCTTAAGAAACTAAGGCAGGACAGCCAAGTTATACTGACATCAATACAGACATATGCAATCAAAATATGAATAATGATATATGTTTGGCATAATTTGAAAAGAGCAAATTCTGAAAAAGGTCGTTCCATTGAATTTAACAAGAATTTCTGAGAAGAGGTAACTGCCTGCTTTCTTTTCACTATATATTGATAAATAATATGACATGGATGGCACAGAGAACACCGCATCTAACAGTTCCTTTATTGTTGTGTGTGTATTTGTTGCTGTGGGAATGTGTTTAACAAGCTGATGCCTAGCAATGTTAGAAGAGAGGGGGGGGTACACAGACAGCAATATGATCTCGCAAGTCTCCTTAGCTTATTTTGAGAAAATACAAGATCAGGAAAGATCTTATCACCTACTTTTGTTTGATATGACATGGACCAGGTAGAAATAATGTACCCAACAATTTTATTATTATGTGTGTATTCATTGCCGTAAGAACATGTTTACTGAGCAGTACCTAGCAACTGTTGCCTAGTTACGATAGGGGCATATACACACATAGGCAAAGTAAGCTAACAATAGAGGAACTGTTGGAAGCAGTGTTTTCCTTGTGGTATGACACAAATTTATGCAGGGAGGACAACTGAGGACTGCAGTTAGCAGTCAGTTGCAGTGCATAAAAACAAAGGAGTAAGAAGGCCTGATTACTGTGCCAGTGCCTAGCAACAGCCATCTCTATGGTGTTATTCTGCCTGCACTGTTGCAGCTACCAGGCATCATGTCACATATGTTTATGTGGTATTGTAATGGCTGTCTATTCTAGCTTTTAGGAATTGGGGTGGGGGATATAAAGAGAGACGGGCACACAGACAGAAGGTGATCTTATAAGCCTCCTCTTATGTTTTTCAAAATAAGGAAAATAGGTTAGAAACTTTTAAGTCATGTGTGCCATCAAAAACTATGATAAAGACATATGGGAAATTACATAGCCATTCTTGTCTGTGACAATGAAATGTTGTCTCTTATTCTGTGAGAATATGTAACAGACATTATGAAACAATGGTAAGGAGAATTTTCAGGCAATAGAGATGGATCACTCCATGTGAAATCAAGAGAGATTATTGATATAAATATCATGCCCACTTCTGGTTCTAATTAAATCAGGGAGGCTTCTAGGGTTTGGTAAGCTATATATAAAAGTATGAATTACTATCATTACTGTGACTTCAGAGATGCATTACTTTGAAATTAAAAATTTTCTCCAAATCTTTCCTTTATCATGAAACACCAAGAACTGTATAAATGACCTAAACAAGGCAAAAAATTTGATCTTGAACAAATTTAAAGATCTTAAATTAGGCTCCGATTCAACAAGTTTCTTTTAATTTAAAAAATACTGTTTCTCAACATAACACGCCTTGTCTCATGAACTGCATATATTCCACATTCTGAACCTGAAGAAACAGATGGTACATTTTGACAAAATTCAGACAGACTACAAATTTTTACAATTATTGTTTCTGAAAAATATCCATTGTCCTGTCTTTTTATTTAAAATAAACGTTTCGGAGACTGCACTCCACCTTCATGTGAAACCTACTCAGTTGGGCCCAATCAATAGAGCTGATGTTGCAGATTGAACAAAACACCACCTACAGGAAGTGTAAGGAATCTGCCAACATCTCTGGTAGACCATCCGATCAATCAACCCAGATTGGATAACAGTCCCATCGGGACTCCCATTATCACAGCAGAAGACAGAAAGCTGCAACTTTGCCCAGTGCAGACTATGTGTGAAAACTGTGTTATGTTGGTACCATACAGAAAATTAGCCTCTTTAATGATGACTTCTATTTGGACGGAACTCTGGGTTTAATGACAATAGCTCTGAAATAGTGCAAGGATATAAGTGCTATGCCTCATATGTGTGTGTGCAGTTTTTTTAATGTTTTTCTGAACTCTCACAGATGGTATATGCTCCACTTGGTTTACATATCCTATCTTGTGTTGGTGATGGAGTCTGGAGATAGGGACTAGCTCTATTGACTGGCCCCAACTCAGCAGGTTTCACCTGAAGATGGAGACAAAATACAGAATGATGGATATAGTCCAGAAACACAATAATTATATTAATATGCCTTCATTACAAACTTTTAGATCTTAGTTGTAAATTTTTTGTTGTCTCCAAATACTACAGACATTTCTCATGGCATTGGCAGAGACTTCTGCTAAGAGGATTAAAACATTTAGTCACTTAACACCTGAAATGACTGCAGCCATTTTAAATGTAAAAAAATATATTTAATTCTATTTATGCTAAAACCATCAGAATACTTGCCATATGATGAATTACATCTGAACTCTGCCAGAGCCAAGTGAAAAGAGAATGGATGGATTCAGCATGTTGTGCAACAGGTGTGAACATGTCTGGACACAACCATCCACACAGTGCAGTATCAAAGAGCTTATACAATAAAATCACATCTCCGTTCTCAGAGTATGTATTGATTAAAAAGTTAGACAAATTTAGCAAATGGGTTTTAGGCAAACAAGGTCAAAGGTCAAGGTACAAACTGACAATAACCAAAAGCATAGCATTTCAAATGAAAGCCCAATTCAAGAGTTTTAAAATGAAAGTAGAATGGGGTTCCCATCTTGATTAGGGTCAGAGTTATGGATGTATTTGTAACTCAAAGTAGGGGACAATTTAAACAAAATTTTGAATTTCTAAATGCTGTATCTCTGATATAATTGTATGACACAACAATTACATAATTATCACATACTTATCAGATCCAACAAGCTTACTAACTGCTGTTCTGGGCTGACATAGAATGAAAGTGAAGCAAGACCTATCAAGTGGTGAACAAATATGCTGCGTAACATTTTAAGTTATTATGGTGGTAGTTATAAAGGTTATGGTTTCCTGAGATGTAACACAATGTAGTCTGAAACAGTGGTATCAACATTTTGGAGGAACTTGCTGCCTCCATCATCAGGGCATTAATTTATTATGCTTAAACACATTTTTGTTTGAGATGGATTTCATACATGAAATAAAGCCCCAGAAAAGCAGTTTTTGGCCTCTTCAATATCGTCTTTCTTCCAGTAACAATCACCAAGTTCATTCCATGCATCCACATGTTTGGGATCTAGTTTAACAGCACGAGACAATACTTCTTCCGCCTCTTTTGAGTACTGAGGCATCACATTTAGAGCCCGACCTTTCATGTACAGATACATAGTCTTATTCTCTTGCTCAGCATTTTCTGTAATATGAAAACTGTTATGAATTCAACAAGTAAATTGGAATGAAGATTACAAGCTCTCAGGACACAATTCATTATGAACATCAGAGACCATGCATACATGCCTTTTAAAGTTTCAAATAATTTCAATGTATTTTTCATTTCATTTTCCACATCACTGTTTTTCTGGTCTGCTTTATCCAAAGAATGCTTTTCAAAATAATGATCTCGATATATGTACAGTTCATTTAATTTTTCCTGTAATAAAGAGGACAAAAGTTTCAATATTGGTTCCAAGCAAGAAATAAACAATAAAATATAGTGCAATGACTCTTCCTGTAGTGGCAATTCTAGATTGTTAGTTAATGTGATTATGTCAATTGAAGAACAATGGTTATTTGTGACTGTCAATGTATTAACCAACTAATAGCTGAAAATTAAACTTAATTTGGATTAGATTTTGTACTGGTATTCCTCTACATCGACCGCATCCGTGGTCTAGTGGTCAGCGTTCTTGGCTACAGATCCACAGGTCCGGGTTAGATTCCCGGTACTACCGAATTTTTTCGGCGAAGTAGTGGGTCTGGAACAGGGTTCACTCAGCCTCGTGATTATAAATGAGGAGCTATTTCAAGGAAATAGTGGCTCCGGTCTAGAAAACCGAGATTAACGGCTATGGGGATTCGTTGTGCTGACCATGCAAAAGTTGGCACTAAGCTTTGCTGACAAGTGGCGGTCGCTCAGATGGTATGGTTCGCTTGCGGACTGAAAGCATGCAAGCAAACTATACCAACCGAGTGTCCGCTGNAGAAAACCGAGATTAACGGCCATGGGGATTCGTTGTGCTGACCACGCACAAGTTGGCACTAAGCTTCGCTGACAAGTGGCGGTCGCTCAGTTGGTATGTTGGTATTGTTCGCTTGCGGACTGAAAGCACGGAGTTTCTTTTATTCCTCTACATCAGCTATCATGTTTCAGCTTTTCTCCTTCACACACTGAGAAATACACGTCTCCTACACAAAATTCTTCAGCTACTAAACTAATACGCATACAACAGCACAATGGGATTATGCAACCTTGGTAAACACATTTCCACTCAGATGCTATGCAATGCAGTGACATCATCAATACAGAACCATGTTTTCTATGTGGTCTGTGCTGTGGCTATATAACAAGATTCCCAAAATAACTAGCAGCATATGTAATACATTCATTATGATTCACATGTAAAATGTAAATATCCTTTACATTATGACAAATGACTTACTACTATAAACAATAACTCTGACAAAAGACAGACCGTCCTCTCATCAGAGAGGGCGCCCCACAATAACAAGACCTAAACTGTCAAACAGTAATAAATATCTGGTCATGAGCCCCAGATTGAGCTCGACACCCAGACTGACCATCAGTTGCAATGTGACTTTGACTCTGACTTTGACCTAGCAGCAGTCAAATGTTCTACCATGACTGTTCAACTGACTAGACTGCCGCTGTGCCAGGAGCTACTAATTATAGTGCATGATCTGCTGTATTGAGCCTAGACTGACAGAGGCCTTTTATATATCATATATGTACTTAACAACGTATAAAATGTAAATTGTACATACTGACAACAGACTTATTACTCCTGACTGTGACTCTGGCAAATGACAGACATGTCCTCTCGTCAAAGAGAGTGCCCCACATCAAGTCTGCAACTGTCATAAAGTAATAAAGTTCTGGTCTTAATCCCCAGATGGGTGCTTTATTCCAAGGCAGACTGGCTGGCTGACTGACCATTGGTCATAACATAACTTTGACACTGACTTGACTCGTGCCAGTAAGCTGCAGGAGTGAGTAGTCGACTGAATTTTAGTTGAGTTCTGAGGTTCCCGGGTGATTGAACAAGAAATGGCAAGAATATTTCATAGTGATCTGAAGTGCTAGTTTCTGCACTGAGATCCTTTGCCAGGAGATGACTAGTGAAGATGGAGAATCCTAGTGTGTGTGCCATAGTGAACTGAAAGTGTGTAGAATAGTAATAGCGCTATAATTGAGTGTGAGTAAGAGAACTTGTAATTGAAGTACCAATAAATCAAACCATCCAATCTAGAACCTGTTATTTTCGTTGTGAAGCGAATTGCCAGATCTACTGTTGTATTACAAAAAATCAAGGACTGGACTTTGTGGAGGGGTCGGCTCCCTCCAAAATGGAAGATTAACCTGCTAGCAGCGTTAGTGTAAGAAGAGCTGGATATGTGGGAGTACTGGCAACTCTAGGAGTTATGGTGGGAAGATGTTGAAAGCACAGGCCTCAAAAAGAAAGGAAAAGTGACACACTGTTGGGTTATTCAGGACTAATAGCCTTAAGGAGAGCGCAATGTGGCGTATTTGTGTCATGTAAGAACTGCTGAGCCACAGAAGTAGTGGTTGCTAAGTAATACACGCATGCAATAATAGAATAACGGGCTATGCAACCCGTTTTTAGGCAACGGCTTGGTAAACATGTTCCAGACTTTGATTATGGATCAAATTCTGGGCACAATCAGTATTATGCAAAAAAAAAAAAAAA